CAGGTTGACAGCCGGGCAGACTCTCCTAGTCTCAGCAGACCAGCACCCGAGGCTGGGAGGACGAGAAGGAGCGAGGTGGGGCTGGTCTGCCCAGAAGCTAGCTTTGTGTGCTTGGCTCTTTGGTCTCGGGGCGCCAACTTTCCCATCATTTCTATAGAATAGACACTGTGCACACACAGTTTATAGACATATCAAGGCACCGCGAGGTGATGGTTTGCTCAGCGTTGTGAAGCCAGGATTCTTAGTGGCGTGATTCCTAGGACTGGCACTGCCAACTAAGTGTCCTGGGCCTTGGGAGCCTCCTGCTGTGTGCCTCCTCCAGCCCCCACTGGCCGGGTAGCAATTGCCAAGTACCACTGGGCTGCCTCTGCCCCCTGCCCTCGCTGGCACTGGGGATGCATTCTTCCCTCCCCGGGCGGATCCTAGTCCTGGCCGCCCGGCAAGCCTTGAGTTCCAGTTAAATGCTGACTCCCCTGGGGTTGGTGAACCACCGAGGTCTGTGTTCAGCTTCTTGCGTCTTGTTGCTCATTGATTGGCATTGCTGATGGGGAGGGAGTGAAGGTCAGTGCGCTGGTCTGCAGGCTGGAGACCCCAGTTGCATTGGCAACTTCTGTTAGCCCACTCCAGGGCTAACAGTGCACACATCACAGGCTGTGTCCTCACAGTGATACGGGGGCTCGGGGAGGCAACCAGGGAAGGAGACTGCACTGATGTAATAAGCAGCTGTTCTTTGGCCTTGGTGTGCCATTGTGTCTCTCAAGCCTGCTTAGCTTGCCCATTTCACAGATGGGCACACTGGGGCATTCGGGTCAGGACCATCCAGCTGAGAGGTACTAGTGTGAGTCTGAACCCAGGCTTCTCCTTAGCTCCATGCTGTCTGTCTTCACTTTCCTAGGTTTCTGGAAGTGGGCAGATGGGAATGGAAGAAGGGGTCCCAGCCAGCACAGTTGGTGTGACCTCGAGTCCTGATTCTGGAATGGGGTCTTAGCAGGAAGTGAGCTTCCCTGACAGCTAGCTATCAGAGGGAGGAGCTGAGAATGGTCATCACACCTCGGGTATCAGCTGCCTCCCGTGAAGATGGAGATGATGGAGGGGTGGGGAGATACAAAAAGAGAGAGAAAGGGGAAGAGAGAGAGAGAGAGACTAGATTAAATAAGACTTGTGCCTAAAATAGACCTCCTTTGGATAACTGTTTCCTACCGTGAACTCTATAACCAGCCGTTTCCACCAGGTCCCCGCTCCATGTCTGTCACAGCTTGGGGACATGCGTGGAGGGAAGAGGAGGTGAGGTTGGACGTCACAGGATACTCAGAAGCCCCCTAGCAGACAACTCTGAGGCCCCAAATGTCTAGTGCCAAGTCTCAGAGTCTCAAGACCTCTGCCATGAGACACAGCAATGAGAACAACAGTGCCATGTGCTGCCAAGAGAACCCGCAGTGGCCCGGGCCTCTGGCCACATCCAAAGCCCTCCTGCTTTTCTGTTTTCTATTTTTTGTTTTATTTATTTGCTTTTGGTCGGTCATGGGGCTTGAACTCTGGGCCTGAGCGCTGTCCCTCATCTCTTCAGCTCAAGGCTAACACACTACCACATGAGCCGCAGCATCACTTCTGGTCTTCTGGTGGTTTATTGGAGATAAAGAGTTTCACAGACTTTCCTGCCTGGGCTGGCTTTGAACTGCGATCCTCAGATCTCAGCCTCCTGAGTAGCTAGGATGACAAGCGTGAGCCACCAGTGCCCGGCTTTTTGTTCGTTTGTTTCTTATATTGAACCTGCTTTTAAGGTTCCTTTTGCACAAAAGTATCTGGGGGGAAAATGTTGGAAAACTTTTGGCCAGGACACTGGTGGCTCACACCTGTCATCCTACCTACTTGGGGGGCTGAGACTAAGGATCCTGGTTCAAAGCCAGCCTGGAAACGAAAGTTGTTGAGACCCTTATTTCCAATTAACCAGCACAAAGCCAGAAGTAGAGCTGTGGCTCAAATGGCAGAGTGCTCACCTTGAGTGAAAGAGCTAAGGGAAAGTGCCCTGGGCCCTGAGTTCAAGCCCCAAAGAGACACTGATACCAGACATCAGAGTCAGGTAGGGCCTGGTCCTAAAGCACTGTTGTGGTAGGAATGGCTAGTCTCTGGTCACTTAGGCAGACTATGTACTAGACCCCTGCATCTGGCTAGCTTAAGGTGCTGTGGTCATCTGTTGTAGGCTAGGTGTGCACAGCCAGGTTCCTACATAGCCCTGGGTATCTCTGAGTGGTCTGTATAAGGTAGACCTTCTGGCAGGTGTTCTGACAGGACAGTGTGTGTATGGACAGTCAGGCCCCACTGGCCCCCAGGGACAAGCATCTGTCTTGAGCTTTCTCCAGACTTTCTGCACCAAGGACTTCAGAGTCCTCGGTGTCCTGGCCTTGGCACTGGCGATGTTTGGGTCAGATCATCCTGTGTTATGGGTCCATCCTGTACACCGTTGGCTGTTTAGCAGCTGTCCTGGCCCCTAAGCACTAGATGCTATGATAATCACGACAATCAAAAAGTCTCCAGGCGTGGCCACAGGTCCCCTGGAGACAAAAACCAGCCTTCATGGAGATAAACTGAGGTAGTCCCTGTTGCTTCTCCCTTGGCCTTTCCTCATAGACTCTGAGTTGCCCAAGGGGGACAGATTTCAAAGTCTTTGCTGTTTTAGGAGACTCAGCCATCTTTCCACCTACTATGTGCTGTCGTCTGGAATGTGCAGGTGGAGGAAGCAGAAAGGGAGCGAGGTGTATGGGTTTCAGCAGGAGTACTGAGGGAAGCAGAGGCAGAAGTGCATGCTCTTTCTGTGCTGAAGGAGGAAGGAGAGTGGGATCCTAGCTTCTGTAAGCCAAATGGAACTGGCCAAACTGGTCTGAGCTGGACCATCTACTGAGTTCTATTCCAGACCCTTTCTCTCGTGGGCTAATGACAGTTAATAGTGAACGTCAATAAGTGTGTTGCTATTAAGTGGCATTGCTCACCGAGTCAAGGAGACAGGAATATTGGCCTGCATCTGGTAGCTGGAGGTAGAGAGCAGAACAAGGTAGGTAAAGATGGGGCTGAAGAAGGCCTGCCTGAATCACCCCGTGGGACAGCAGAAGACCCCAACTTCACCCTTGGGCTGTGTGCCAAGCAGGGTGTGACCCAAAGCCCCTGTGAACCCTGCTGTCTTTTGCTCTCAGCACGAGTGGTGGTGTTGCCAGTACCCTGAGCTTCTAGAAGGTTCTTTCAGCTGTGTAGGCGAGATGTCCCACGGCCAGGGTCTCGGGACCACAAACATGCTGAATTAGCAAGGCCGACAGACCCAGGGCTTTTCATTCCTTCTGCCTCCAGGCTGGCAGCATCCCAGGAACACAAATAAATAGAAACCCGACTTTGTTTTCAGAATTTTCCAGAGCCCAGACTCCAAAGGCTGCAGAAAGGCATTCTTGTGGGGTGGACATCTACTGGGGAAGTCACACTGGGGTCCCAGACCGAGGCATGCGCTGCCCCGGGGGGCTCACCCACACAGTGCCATGTGTTGGCTTGGGGCGTAGATCCAGGTCACCAGCTCTCACTGGCTGACCTCGCAGAGGAGGGTCACACAACCCTGTGGATTTGGGGAGCTGGTCCTCAGAGGAGCCCTGGGGCTGACATTTGGGACTCACATTCTCTTCTCTCTGGTGTTCATGGGGCCTTAGGCAGCTGGGGCCCGAGGCTGTGGAAAGCAGCGGTCTAGTCTAAGGCCTACACCAAGCTTTTCTCATTGGGTCTGTCCACTCCGAAACCCTGGATCCAGGCACTGAGTGTTGGCCTGTGTCCCCTGCCTCGTTCCCTTATTCCAGGCCTCTGTGCTGCACTGTTTACTCTTCTGGGTTTCCTGGACCTCCACCTGTTTTTTGCTGGACATTGAATTTTTCCAACTTGACTATTGGTGCATCAAAATGAATGTTTCTATTCCAGCTCCCACATGACGCTTAGTAGATCACCTTTTGTAGATGTCACCTCCCATAGACGCTACCTCCCATAGATGTCACTTCCCATAGCTGTCACCTCTTGTAGATGCCACCTTGCACAGATGTCACATCCCTTAAGATGTCACTCTCCTATACATGTCATCTCCTGTAGCTGTCACCTCCTGTAGATGTCATGTCCCGAAGATGTCACTGTCCTGTAGATGTCACTGACCTGTAGATGTCACCTCCAGTAGCTGTCAATTGTAGATGTCACCTCCTGTAGATGTCACTGACCTGTGGATGTCACGTCCTGTAGATGTGACTTCTTACAGATGTCACTCTCCCATGGATGTCACCTCCCATAGTTGTCACCTCCGATAGATGGATGTCACACTCCTACCCAAGTCTTGATCCCCTGGGAGCCATTAAGGCAAGCATCCTAAGCTTGTTTGAATTCTGTTGCAATCTTGTTTTGCCAGCCTCATTTCCTGGCCCTTCACACCCGATCTGAGGCTGAGCCAGGAAGAAGGCAGGCTCTGCTGCCTCTTCCCTGCCTCTCCCCTCCCTGCCTCTCCCCTCCCTGCTTTGGCATTTGTAGTGAAGGCCTTATGAGGGCTCGGTGGTGGTCAGAGCTGAGATCTGCCCTCTCTGTCCCTGCTCCCTCTCAGCAGGAAGCTCAGAGTCCTGCTCAGAGGTGAGGTGTGGGTGTAGGATGAAGTCAGGCAGTGCCAGCGTAGGGGGGTGGGCATCAAGGAACCCCTTTTCCCTGTTGGTTATCATTCCGGGGCTGTCTGCCTTGGGAATCATAGTAGCGAGACGCATCCTGGGAGTGATGGGCAGGAACGCCCATCGTGTCACCAGAAAGGAAATTGTACCCCTGTGCCTCAGTTTCCTCTCCCAGGAAGTCTAGCGCCCAGTCCCAGTGGGAGGGGGTGAGTCACTCCTGGTAGTCGGTAGAGTGTGTTATCACAGGGAATTGCTGAGGCCCAGCCTTTACCTCCCTTCAGGAAACTTGTCTCAGCCAGAAGTCCTGACCTCTGGCCTCTTTCCCCCTCACAGGAGGTGACAGCAGACATGTCTCGAGAACTTCAGGATGTGGATCTCGCTGAGGTGAAGCCTCTTGTGGAGAAAGGAGAGGTGAGTGGACCTCCTGGCTCTCCCTGTCACAGGCAAGTGTGTGCTTGTGGTATGCAACATGCATATTCATGTGTGGGAAGCCTGCACACATTCTCACACACACACACACACACACACACACACACACACACACACACACACCTTTGAATGCATAGGAGGCTCTGAAAATTGGGATATGAATTTGCTTTAAAATCCAGTGTCAAGGGGCACAGGTGACTCATGCCTGTAATCCTACCTGCTAGTGAGGCTGAGGTCTGAGGATCACAGTTCTCCAACAGCCTAGACAGGAAAGACTGTTATATTTTCATCTCCAGTTTACTACCAGAAAGCTGGAAGTGGAGCTGTGACTCAAGTGGTAGAGCACCAGCCTTGAGTGAAAAAGTTCAAGGACCTGAGTTCAAGTCCCAGTTCTGGTAAACAAGGTGTTCACCATCAGAATAATCAATTCAGGCTGGACCAGACCTGTCTGGGCTCAGGGCAGGGGCTCCTGTTTCCAGCTCACAGAGGAGGCTTGACCCAAAGATGCCAACAGCAAGCACAGCACCAGTGGATGTTGCTCCCCTCTCTCTGCACATGCTCTGACGTGGCTTCTCTTAATTGAGGACTCTGATTGTCTTTCTGGTCTTGTCTCTCCACAGACCATCGCTGGCCTCCTGCAGGAGTTTGATGTTCAGGTGAGTAGAGAACTCAGCGTCTTCCCCACACCTTACCCCATCTACTCTGCCAGTCCTCTCTCCATTGACCTCAAGTAGATCTATGTTCAAATGTGGGGGCCAGGGAAGACAAAGAAATAGGCTCAGCCAGATCCCCACTCTCAGGTTCTTCTTGTGCAGAAATGGGCAGCACTGGACTTCCCAGGAGGAAGCGAGGGAGGGAACATTGCTGGGCTGTGGGCAGGTTTGAGACACTGGGTCAGGTAGGCCTGCTGTCCTTGGCTTTGCTCAAGATATGAAAACAGTCCTTCTCCAGTGTGTTGGCCAGGACGGAGCATGTCCATCCTGAGCAGGGTGGGCCAGCCAGCGGTGTGTCTATCCCTTTGTCCAGGAGCCAACGCTCAAAAGAGCAGGCTGATCTCTCGGCTGAGAGTGCTTGGAACCTTAGCAGCTGTAGGCCCTGGATTCATTATCCCAGGGGATCATGGAGGGAGCAGAGTGGGTCCAGAGCTTGTGTCTCTCTGAAGAGGAGAGGTGAGCGTGTGATAGTTGCCACAGGCGAGCTGAGGTAGGCTCGCCCGAACTTGCTCTCATGGAGGCATTTGGCTTCCAGCCCCTTCCCAGTTCTGCATCTCCTTCTTCTATCTCATCCTGCCCTGATGACTGCTCTGCTCTCTCCTCCAGAGTCTTCTCCCTGCTATTGGTGAAGGAAAGGGTTTCCTGTGTATGCCCAGACTGCCCTTAAACCCCAGTCCTCTAGATCTCAGTCTTCCAAGTAGCTAGCATGAGAAGTGTGAGCCCTGTCTCCATTCTTCAAGCAGAGGAAGCTGCAGTGGAAAGGGGCTACGTGTGCCTGGCCAGTCACACAGTGGCTGAATTCTCATCTCTGCATTTGATGCGTGGAACTCGTCCAGGCTCAGGCCACCTCAAGAAAAGACCTCAGGCCTTCTCAATTTTACCTGAGAGTCAGCCCACTGTCGGTTTACTGCCAGACAGAAGAAGAGTGGGGGAAACATCTAGGTGAAGTGAGTCTTCCGAGACCACCCAGCAGTGTCTGGGGGAGGGGTCTCCAGATCCTGAGCCTCTCCCCTCCCAGCCACAGGGCGGCCTGGGCAGATGCTGCTCCCTGTATATAGACACCACACTGAGGGCTTCTCAGCAACATGACAGGCTGTATCTCATCATCACTCAGATGGGGAAACTGAGGCCAGAGTGATAAAACTGCGAGTCACAGACAGAACTCTCTGAGCAGGAAGGATGTGCATGTTCTGCACACATCACTGCACCTTCACGTGCTGCACCATCGAGTACAGTAAAATACACATACAATGTGCCATCATAACTGTGTAGGTGTACAGTTCAGTGGTATTAAGAGCATTCATACACAGCCACCACCACTGCCACATCTAAACTACTTTCTGTCCCCTACCATGCATCTAAAGTACTTTCCATTATGCAGAACTGACGCTAACCCCAACAAACACCTTCCTGTCTCCAGACCCTGGTACCCATCATCTTGCTTTCTGCCAGTGACTCTGACAATGATAAGTGCTTCCTCTAAGTGGAACCACATAATAGTTGTCTTTTTGTTCAGACCCATTTCAGTGTCATATTCTTGCATTCATCCACGTTGCTTGGGTCAGAGTTCTTTTCCTTGGGAAGGCCGAGCCCCATTCCATTGTACGTATGTCATGCTTTTCTTGTCCACTGTTCACTCATGGACCCCTGGTTGTCTTTTGCCTTTTGGCTCTTGTGGTGAAAGCTGCTATGAACATAGATGTGCAAATACCTGTTTGAGGCTCTGCTTTCAATTTTGACAGGGCATCTAGGAGTAGAATTGACAGGCAAATCTATCTATATCTTGGTTAAAGATTCTGGGCTAGACAGAGCTAGAAAATATTCAGTATTCAAAAATCATTCAAGCTGGGCCCTGGTGGCCCACACTTAAAATTCTAGCTGCTCGGGAGGCTGAGATCAGAGGATCGTAGTTCACAGACAGCCTGGGCAGGAAAGTCTATTGGACTTTTATCTCCAATTAACCACCAAAAAAGCTGGAAGTGGAAATGTGTCTCAAGTTAGTAGAATATTCCCTTGAGTAAAAAAGCTCAGGCCCTGAGTTCAAACCCAAATCATTCATATATGATGGTAAGGGAAAGAAAGGGTGGTAGTTAGGGATGGAAAGTGACAGACATGACATGAAGCAGATAACACCAGGTCCTTCCTTGCACTTCTCACTCTCATAAAGCCCTCAGTATTTGCTCCCAATGAAAAGAGCTGGGGTGGCCCATGCCATGGGCCAATCAGCACCAAGCCTAGGGGAGGAGCCTCATACTATTAACTCCACGCTCTGAAAGGACTCCACTGGACTCCTCTTTGGGGGCCCAGCTCAGTTCAGTCTCCCCTACTTAGCCTTTCATGCCTTTCCTTTTACTTTCAAATAAACTTGCTCTGTCTGCTTTAACTGTATCCCTGCCTTTTAACTGTAGACAGAACCAACGGGACAAACGCGTGCTTCTTCAGCTGCCTGCTGCCATCTGCCTATACTAATATTTATATGCAGTGATGTTAGAAATAGCCAAAGGCCCTTGGCAGAAAACGTCTCCCACCCCCGAATCCTAGAGGCGTAATTCATCCGCTCCCTAGAAGGTGACTCACTTCTGTGTTGTGCTTTAGTTATTTTTTTTTTTAGATTTTTAATACTGGAGACTGATGCCAGCCAAGACTCCCACATTTAGACAAGACCCCTACCACTGAACTCCATCCCAGCCATTCTGTGTTCCCTTCCTGCTTTGCAAAACATTTGTATATGTTTTCTGTGCCTGGGTCCAGGTAGAACAGGTGCCAGGAATGGTAGTTCTTACTGATCTGTGGGCTATTTGGACCAGGGAGAAAAAGGACCCTGGCGAAGTGGGGACTACCCAGAGAAAATTCTGGATGAGGTGGCAGAGGTCAGGATAATAATCCTAGCTATAATCCTAGCTACTTGGCAGGTCGAGACCTTAGAATCATGGTTCAAAGCCATCCTGGGCAGGAAAGTCCACAAGACTCAACTAGCCCAATTAACTATCCCAAAGCCAAAAGTGGAGGTATGACTCAAGTAGTCGAGCACCAGCCTTGAGCAAAAAAGCTAAGGTTCATGGTGTGCTCACATGTGTACACACACACACATACACACACACACACACACACGAACATGAATGTAAGTCTTTTACAATTTCAGCCAGTGAGTCAAAACACAGGCATTAAAGCACAGAAGCTACGTGGATGCTGCAGAGAGGGTCTGCTGCCAGGCCAGCTGAGGGACAGTCTGTCAGGAGACAGCCCGGCTGCCCCAGCAGATGGTACCGCACTTCACCTCTCTCTGGGGACATCACCTGAGATGCTCTGTGTGGACCTGGGTGGTGTTCTGGGCAGGTAGATTGTCATGTGTGGGTGAGATACTTTCAGAGACCTGTGTGTCCCCTCCCAGCTGGCATTCTGGATTCCCCAGAGTTTAAGCTGGTGGGGTAAGGTGGCTGGGTTCCAGTGCTATGGCTGTGGGAAGAAGGTGACTGATCTGGTCCTGCTGAGAAGGCTCTAGAATTGGGGTTGGCAGCTTTGTTTATAAATTCAAGTGAGTGGGGAGACGGGAAGTATTTTGGGTTCCAGTTTCTAGCGTTGTTTTCTTTGGCTAGCATTCCAGAGTCTAAGGCTGTTAGAACAGGCAGATGTCTTTGAGATGGCCCAGATCCGTTACTCCTGCTCCAGATGGAGAAATCTTCTTAAAGCTACTGGACATCCACGCCCTAGCTCAGGGCTGGCTCACCAGGGAGGGAGATGTGAGATGAGCCATTCACAGATGTGTAAGAGCCTGCCGGAGTACTATCAGGACAGTTGTAAATCTAGGGCCAGCTGGGCTTCTGAAAATGCAAGAACACTGCCTTTATGATGAACTCATGTATCATGAATGTCTAACAGCGACGTGTGTGTGTGTGTGTGTGTGTGTGTGTTTGCGCGCGCGTGCATGCGCGCACATGCACACTAGTAACAGGCTTGAACTCAGAGCCTCATGCTCTTACTTGGCTTTCTGGCTCATGGCTGGTGTACCTCTACTTGAGCCATGGCTCCAGGCTTATTTTGCCTTGCTTTTTTTTCTTTTTTTGAAGTAAGGTCTTCTGTGGTACTCGGCAGGCTTCGGCTGCGATCTTCCGCCTGGTGCCTCCTGGTGTGACGGGAGATGTTGACTCCAAGTCATTGTTTACCACAGTCTCAGGAATTTCTTACTGCCCAGGCTGGCCTCTCAGCCCCATTCCCAACCTCTGCTTCTCATGGTTGACATCCCTTGAGCACAGAATATTCAGCTGGAACCGCTATCCACCCTTTTTTCCTGCCTCTCATCCCGGCTTCCCTGCCTGTAGGGCCCAGAGAAGGCTCAAGGGATTTTGCTGGTGTCGCACCATGAGATTGATGACAAGGATGACTCAGTTTCCACATCTGGGGCCAATGTCCCATGAATCCAGCTGTGGGGGAGACACCGCAGGGCTGTGTCCACGCCTGGCCATTCCTAGCTCATAGGCTGGGTGGCTTTCTGTGCCCAGATTGCCTTTCCTGCTGCGTTGTCTGTATCTAATTCCTTCCACCTGTGTCCTCTGTCATTCAGAGGCTTTGATTTGATTTAGTTTCCATGGGAATCTGTGTTTGTGCTCAGCAGTGCTCTCCGGGAAATGAGCTGATGTTACCCACAGGGCCTCTTGGATGAAGGAGACAGAGATCGGGTGGAGGGGGACAGGACGGCTGAGGTCTGAGCTCCCCAGCCAGCAGCGCTGAGCTGAGCAGAGCTGAGCGGAGCTGAGCGGAGCTGAGTGGAGCTGAGTGGAGCTGAGTGGAGCTGAGCTGGGCGGAGCTGGGCGGAGGGGCTGATCCTTTTCCTCTCTCCTTGTAAGCAGATGGGCTCACAGGGAGCCGTCCACAGTGACCTTTGCTGAATTTCCTTTTTTCCCGCACGGTGGCTGCTTGTTTTCATGGCCTCCTGACTGGAGGTG